CAGCCAACGGTCAGGTTTACCTATCACCGGACAGAGTTCAGAGCATCCGTACTCTGATACAACAGATCCTGTCGAAGAGGAGAGTTGCCCTGATCCATCTTTCTTGCCTTCTCGGAAAGATGGTATCCTGCTTCGGCATCGTTCCGTGGGCACGCAGACATTCGAGACCTCTGCAGTGGTTTTTGCTCCCTTTCCAGCGGGCAGGCAGGGCCAACTCCAAACGGGCAGTACTCCTCACCCTTCAGGTCCGCCAGTCCCTCAGGTGGTGGACATCGCCTTCGCTTCTCAAGGGGTCCAGTTTCCTAGAACCGGACCGACTGATCATCACCACCGACGCAAGTCTTCGAGGGTGGGGAGCCCACCTCCACAACCTGGTGGCACAGGGACAGTGGTCCCGGCGGGAGAGTCAGTGCAGCATCAATCTTCTGGAACTTCGGGCGATCAAACTGGCCCTTCAGGAGTTCCATTCGACAGTGCGAGAACATCACGTTCTGATCCTGACCGACAACATCTCGGCCAAAGCGCACGTCAACAGGGAGGGGGGCACAAGGTCCCGCACCCTGATGCGAGAGGCCGCCGATCTCTTCAACTGGGCAGAGAACCACCTTCTTTCGATCAGGGCGGATCACATCTCGGGGGCATCCAATGTCAGAGCAGACTGGCTCAGCAGAGAGACCATAGACCAAGCGGAATGGCAGCTCCATCCACAACTGTTCCGGGAGCTTGTCTCACGCTTCGGGAGCCCGGCGGTGGATCTCTTTGCAACCCTGGCCAACGCTCAGCTTCCCCGTTTCGTGTCGCGCTACCCGACACCTCTGGCAGAAGACCACGACGCGTTGCGCTGCAGGTGGCCCGAGGGTCTCCTGTACGCGTTCCCACCACTACCTCTAATTCCCCGCCTCATCCGAAAACTGCTATCGGAGAAGGCCGACCTGCTCCTGGTAGCCCCGAACTGGCCCCGGCGGCCGTGGTACGCCGACCTAGTGGCGCTCTCCGTGGACCAACCGTGGGTGATCCCACCACGGCGGCTCGTCCTTCGCCAGGGGGAGGTCACGCACCCAGAGCCCCAGTGGCTGCAATTAGCCGTCTGGCATTTGAACGCGTCATCCTGAAGAAGGACAACCTACCAGATGAGGTCGTGGCCACCATCCAAGCGGCTAGACGTCCGTCCTACACGACCCGCATTTACGAGGCGTCTTGGCAGGCGTTCTGTCGCTGGAGTACCCGACAACACACCGACCCGACATCAGCTGAAGTTCGTGACATCCTGCAATTTCTTCAAGCTGGCCTTGACAGGGGCCTGACCCCCGCAACCTTACGAAGGCAGACAGCTGCCCTATCAACGGTCATCACTTGCCCCCCGTACCAGTCTCTCGCGCACCACCACGCGCATCAAGGGGTTTCTACATGGGGCCACAAACCTTCGACCCCCGGCAGTGCATCGGTACCCATCATGGGACTTGACTCTGGTTCTGCGGGCACTGACTGGACCCCCCTTCGAACCCCTAAACTCAGTCTCTCTCAAGTACCTCTCATTTAAGGTGACCTTCCTGCTGGCAATCACCTCGGCGAGAAGAGTCTCAGAGATAGCGGCCCTCTCAGTCCGCAAGGACTTATGCATATTTCGTGAATCCACGGTGACGCTACGCCTCGACCCGGGCCTTCATCCCGAAGGTCAACTCGTGGTTTCATCGGGCCCAGGAACTCATCCTGCCGGATTTCTGTCCTTCACCCCGAGATGCTAGGGAGGAGAGGTGGCACACGTTGGACGTCCGACGTGCTATCCGCATCTACATTCATCGGACCAAGCCCTTTCGCCGGACCGAGGGCCTCCTGGTTTCCTTTAGTCCGAGGTCCATGGGTCAGAAGGTATCACCAGCTACGGTCAGCAGATGGATTAAGTCCTGCATCTCTATTGTCTACGATTCAAGCTCCAAACCGGCACCGGGCAGAATCCTCCCCCACTCTACCCGCAGTGCGGCCACGTCGGTGGCCTGGGCTACTCAAGCTTCGGTAGCGGACATCTGCAGGGCAGCGACCTGGTCGTCCCTCACGCCGTTCATTCGTCACTACAAGATCGATGTGTACAACTCCGCTGAGGCGGCGTTTGGCCGCAGAGTACTTCAGAAAGTGGGTGTCGGAGGACAACGGTGGAGACAGTCAGCCTCCTGCCCAGGGGATTTGAGCTTGGGTATATCCCATGCTTGGATAGTGGGAGCAGCGCACAGGAAAATGGACGTTGTCTTACCTGAACGTCCTTTTTCTGGGCGCTGCGTACACTATCCATAACCCTCCCTCTGGGGCTGACTGCTCACCTGGTGACTGTTGGTCTCTTTCGTTCCTGTTATCAAGTTGGTTAATAAAGTTGAGTTTGTTAAGGTTACTCTTAGTGGACTCCTTGTTAGCTGCGCCTTTCGTTCAGACTGGGGGATCATGGGAACAGAGCCGTGGCTAGGGGGCCGGAAAGGGGAAGAGCCTTCTGTTTCTTTCACTCAGTTGTTGCCAAATACTGAAGTATTAACCCATGCTTGGATAGTGTACGCAGCGCCCAGAAAAAGGACGTTCAGGTAAGACAACGTCCAGTCTCAATAACACAATAACAGAGTTGGAAGGGACCTTGGAGGTCTTCTAGTCCAAGCCCCTGCTTAGGTAGGAAACTGTACACCACTTCAGACAAATAATTACTGTGTTTCCTCTAAAATAAGGCCCTGTCTTATATTTTTTTGATCCCTGAAATAAGCGCTTGGCCTTATTGCCATGCGCTCAAAAGCCCGATTGGGCTTATTATCAGGAGATGTCTTATTTTAGGGGAAACAGGGTATCTAATCTCTTCTTAAAAACTTACAGTGTTATAATACATGGCAGGTGGTTGGCCACCTTCTCACTGATGAAGTTGCAAATCCAACCTAGTATTAAGCAGTAGCAGCTGAAAGCCCTGGCCTCTGGTCTGCTTATTAAGACCTGGGCATGTGTACAGAAGGGAAGAATAGGACACCAACATCAAAAACAACTGATGTCTTCTCTGGGACAGTCTATCCTCCGTCTCTCATCAAAAGTCCTATGCCTATCACTGCTTGAATAATTTGACCTGCCTCAAGCTTCACCGAGTCTTCATTCCCCCTCCAACTCCAACCTATTGGCTCCCTGGGGTAGTGGTGAGATTGCATGGTTCTTTGGCCCCTCAGCATAATTGGGAGCCCTAGCTGCTAACTCCATCTAGATAGATAGATAGATAGATAGATAGATAGATAGATAGATAGATAGATAGATAGATAGATGATTCATTGGAGAAGACCCTGATGTTGGGAAGGATTGAAGGCACAAGGATAAGGAAACAGCAGAGATGAGATGGTTAGATAGTATCATTGACATAATGAACATGAAGTCGGGCAAATTGGAGGTTAGAGGGGCCTGGCATGCTTTGGGCCATGGGATTGCGAAGTCGAACACAATTTAGCAACTTAACAACAACAACACACACACACACACACACACACACATGCTTTTTTATCTACTGCACTGTATATAAGTGAGTGCCGTATTTTCTTATATTTGATGAAACAATGTCTTATGTTTATAGGCAGTCTACTAATAGATGGCAAGTGTAATTTTTGATCCATTGAGTAAATGGGGTCATACATTTATCTTTCTATTGTTGCAATACCAGTCTTTCAGCTTTAAGAGCATGGACAATCCTTTTATGTTCACAAATTCCATGTACAACATGTGTAATTCTAGAGCATTTTGTTGGAGATGTCATAATTTATGTCACATTTAAAATGTGTCCATTTAAAACATACAGTATGTTTTTACCCTGTTCTATACCTACTAAGTTTGGGGAGAAAGTAGTGGACCATATAAATGTGACTGCAACAAAAGCTAAAATTTTCAGAGTACAGGTAGTCCTTGATTTACAATTGCAATTGAGACCAACATTTCTGTTGCTAAGCAAGACATTTGTTAAGTGAGTTTTGCTCCATTTTAAGACCTTTCTTGTCACAGTTTTAAGTGAATCGCTGCAGTTGTTAAGTTAGCAACACAGTTAAGTGAATCTTACTTCCCCATTGACTTTGCTTGTCAGAAGGTCACAAAAGATGATTACATGATCCCAGGACACTACAACTGTCATAAATACGAGTCGGTTGTCAAGGGTTTGAATTTTGATTACATGACCATGAGGATGCAACAATGGTTGTAAGTGTGAAAAATGGTCATAAGTCACTTTTTTCTGGGCTGTTGTAACTTTGAATGACCACTAAATGAACTTTTTTAATCAAGGAGTACCTGTATAATATTTTCTTGAATTATATAACTAATAAATGTCTGAAACTTGTGTTAATCACAGGTAGCTGCATGACAGGAACACAGTTCTGAATTTATGCCATTTACAGTTTGTAGAAATTGTCCAACATCAAACCATAGCTTTGTTCGACCTGTTTGATCCTAACCATCATTAAGATTAAAAAAGAGAAAACAGTGATGAACCTGAGGGTGGCAAATATTGACTCATAGCTTTACAAATTATGCATTACTTTTAAAACAGTTATACATGTAATTTGCTATATCAATTTTAATTAACATTCAAGAACAGTAATTTATAATTTTAAAGCAATGATTATATCTTACTTTCCATCAGTAGAACTGGACTTTTAACATGGTGCAAGAGAACCAGTGCTGTGAAATAATATGCCTTTTTTTTTTTTTACAGTTGCCTTTCAAGACATTGTTATACTATCCTTGAAATAGGTTTAAATCCTAGTTTCAGCATGTAAAGGGATTTGTTTCTTTATGCTGGTAATTACTAAACTGAATAATTTACTAGTTTGGACAATATGTACAAATTAAAATACTATATTTTTATTGATCCTAGATGAGATACAAAGAGAGAACAGAGTAAGGGAATAATTGTATTTTGGATTTTATTTTTTGATAATTATTATTTTCTGCATATGTGTCTTAAATTTTTACCTATTTGAAATAATTTATGCTTTTTTAAACAGGATATTTCTGCACAAGAAAGCAATATATTAGGGGCATTCTGTGACATGAATGTAAGTTTTCAATTTCTATTTAAAATGTACAGCATCAAAAATTATAGCCTACTACTTTTGTTCATGAAAGCATTCTAGTGGCTTACGTATTGTCCTGAATTCAGTTGGTATAAAAGTTTATTAAGTAAGATCCTTAAGGTGCATTATACAGAATCAATATTACTTTCTACAGCCTATTTATTTCATATATCCTCTGACTTTCTACTGTAGCAAATACTGAAGGAGGCTAATATTAAAAAAAATAAAAATAAAAAGTGAAAATAATATTGAAACTAGTAATAAAAGGCTGGGGAAAATATATTAATCCATACAGATTATCTAAATCAGGTGTTTTCAACTAGTTGGCTTGCCTGGACCCCATCGAGTGAAGAAGAATTGTTTTTGGCTGCATATAAAATATATAATATAGTTAATGTATACAAATACACATAGTGTTAAAAGTGTATGATCTTGCGGGTCACAGTACTAGCTGTCAGGGCCACGTGACCTATGGGCAGTGGGGTTGGACATGCCTGATCTAAATACTAATAGAACAAAGGCTAAATATAACTTTCAAAAGACTGCATTTCATAGCCTAGAAGTCCAGGGAACGGCTTTCTCTTGTATGCTTTTTTTTAAAGTGGGAGGTCTCTAACAATCTATTTATTATTTGTATCCCACCTTTAAAGAGGTATCTTTAAAATAGATTTTGTTATAAGTCTTAATGATCAGATAAGTTTAGAATAGGAAAAATAGCTATATAAATCTGTATACTGCCTTGTATTTTGTGTTTGAGTCTGCCTGGTACTGTTCTGACTTAGGCTTCCTGAGACAGTAAAAAGCACACAATTAGACCCAAAACCCCTTTTTTTATTTCAACGGCTGTGAATTATGTTCATTCACAGCCCATAATGAGTCACAAATAGTTTGTAAAGAGTCCGACAGAAGTCACCTTTATCTCCCTTGACATGCTGCCAAAGACCTAATTGGCAATGAGCTTTGCAAGGCCACATGGGGCACAGAGTCAAAACGGAGCTTCAGAATTTAAACCGACCAGAACGAACAAAGTTGCTTCCTGCAAAGGTTCAAGTGCCTTTGCTCCTCCTTTATGTTTTATGGGAGGGGCCAATCATCTCCAAGCCCTACTCCCAAGTCATCCTTTTTGTCTTAACTGATCTTGCCTTGTGGCAGCTCTGTGCATGCGCATACTGGGACCAGGCTCCCCCTGTTCCTCTGCCTCGCTGATGTCCGACTCTGGAGGCTCCGGGGGCAGCACATAACTCACAGATGGCCCTGGCCCCATCTCTGCCTCCGACGCAGAGCCCTCGTCCGAGCCTTCCCCAGACTTTAGGACTGGCCCATGTTCCTCCCCAACCTCCTCACTGTCCAACTCTGCTGCCAGCTCTGCAGGCCGCCGGCAGACCACAACAGGTGACTGTTGGATTGTTAGAATCTTGCACCATATATTTTTTTTAATTTGTATGGCTACGTAGCTTACCTAAACTACTCTGCCAAGCTCATAACAGATAAAAACAATCCAATTAAAACAAGTTAAAAAACAGTATAAACTATCCATAACCAATTTAAAAGAACTTATGCTACGTTTTTACTGTTGGATGAATAAACAAGTATAGCTTCACTCTTTTATTCTGTATAGACTGAATATACTATATCACAGTTATGTTCAGCTTCATAGTCACAATATGCAAAGTTATGTGATTATATAGAGTTGAAGTGCCAAATCTATAAAGACAAATTTAAAAAATACATAAAATGAGTATGTTCAGCTTTTTCAGGAATTTCAAAGATGCATTGATGTATAAACCTAAATACATGCAGATGGATATGAAATGTGAAACTACAGAAGTTTCATATATAGCATTTCACAACATTACATAGATTTAATTTTAACAGTTCCAAATCAGTACATTGAATTGTGCATGGAAATCAAATGGAACTTACACAAATCCTGAAATTTTGCTTCGGTGCTCATGAAGAAAAGATTTCAGAATAGCATGTAGGCAGGGTGGGCTGCTGGAGGTTCGCAGGAGTTCGAGAGAACCTCTAGCTAAGATTCTGTGCAGTTTGGAGAACCTCCAAATCCCACTCCTGGCTGCCCCCCCGCCCCTCCCAGGAATCCCCACGCGGCCTGTTTTGGATGCAGGTAAGTGCAGGGTGTGCACAGAGGCTCAGGAAGGGTGAAAAATGGGCCTACCGGACATTCGGGCCCGTTTCTGGCCTCCAGAGCTTGGGGAGGCCGTTTTCGCCCTCCCGGAGGCTCAAAGAAAGCCTCCAGAGCTGGGAGGCAACCCCCCCCCCCCCCCGCTGTGGTGCACGCCCACCCAGCAACCGGGCAGAGAAACCCTTGCTAAAATTTTTGAAGCCCAGCCCTGCATGTAGGGGTATAATTATTTTGAATGAGAAAGATATATGTGTATTTTAAAAACTTCTTTTATTTCTATAGGATGTAGAAGTACCATTGCACTTGCTTCGCTATGTTTGCTTATTTTGTGGAAAAAATGGCCTATCCCTCATGAAGGACTGTTTTGAATATGGAACTCCGGAAACTTTGCCATTTCTCATAGCGCATGCATTTATCACTGTGGTTTCTAATGTAAGTATATGTCTACAATTTTCTAATTTTAATAATTCATATAATAAAAAAAGTCTCCACCAAGACTTGACTTAACTAATTTGAATCAATTTGTTCTCTGTTTAAATCTGTTGCGTTGTTTATATTTGTAATTCTTATTGTAATACTATTATTAAATGACAAAAAAAGCTCCTTTTAAAAATTGGGGATCACTTTGCTATTAAAATTACAGATGCAGAAAAACGTTCAGAAATTTTCAGGATGTCTGTTGTATTTTCCGTAATTTTCAAAATTATTTTTGAGTTCAGGTCAAGACAGATCCTATTTAAGGGAGAGAGTAATAAGGTAACAGTTGTCCAAATCTCATACATGGAAGTGATAACATCAGTTTTGTTAACTAACATTGACCAATATTGCTTTATTATTGCTAAATTTCTATTTTCCATTTGCTTCTTTTTTTATAGTTCTAAATAAATCAAACCAAAATTGTAAAATCCATATATGTTCCAGAAATTGTTATTCTAGTGACTTAACAAAAAAACAGTTTGTACTCTTTCTCCTGTTTATGATAAATTGGAGGAATAAAGTAGCAGACAAGCTCAACTTGTGAGAAGAATAGCTCCAAATGAACTTAGAACATAAAATAATAGAGTTGGAAGGGACCTTGGAGGTCTGCTAGTCCAACCCCCTGATCGAGCTAAATGGTTGTCCAGTCTCTTTTTGAAAGCCTCAAGTAATGGCGCACCCACAACTTCTGAAAGCAAGCTATTCCATTGATTGATTGCTCTCATCCTTAGGAAATTTCTCATTAGTTCTGGGTTGCTTCTTTGGTTAGTTTCATCCATTGTTTCATGCTTTGGAAAATAGTTTGACTCCCACATCTTTGTAGTAGACCCTTCTTAGCAGTTGCTTCTGACTAACTCTTCCCTTACATAAGTTCTGCGTTGCTAACAATAGCTGCCTTTGAGTTTGTTTTCATAGTGAAGAGACCTAGTGAAATACAGTTTACACACACAATGCATCTTTTGTGTGTGCTGTAGATAAAGCAATGTGACCAGTACCATATGTATGGGCTAATAGAACGGATAGAACTCTCTTTTTTAATAAATAAGAGCCTCTCAAAAATAAACCTTGCATTTCATGTACTTGACATATATCATTTGAGAGTCTTTTGTTTGCTCAATAATGTCTCTTATCTTTCATGGTTACTGAAATTTCCAGAATGATCGTGACCTATTAAATATAATTCTGGAAATTTTTAACACACTGTGTCCTGTTAAATGTTATTCTAGAAATTTCTGAATAAAAGTGGGATCCTGTACTTCTTAACAAATTAAACCTGCTCTAAGACTGGTGAAGACTGTGAGAGAAATTAAATATTAATTTGAAAACCTTCTACTCAACATTATAATAATGCTGAATCTGAATTTCAAATGAAAAAGAAATTCTAACACTGTCTGATATATATTATGTATGGCAGGTTTGATCCTGTTTCATTTTTATCATCTGAGCATTTGATCTCAATGTACCTTTTTATGTATCTTTTTATAGAGCCACATTACTTTAGTGGCCTGCAAAAGAGTGCATCTTCAACTTCGTATCAACTCTCAAAAGTTCTGTCTTTAGGACAGTAACCATGAAAGATAAGAGATAGCATTACTGAGCAAACAAAATACTCTCAAATGATATATGCCAAATATCGTATTTTTCGCACTATAAGATGCTCCGGACTATAAGACGTATATTAGCTTTAGAGGAGGAAAACAAGAAACAAAAACTTCCACCATCCATCCAGTATTCATCTGGCTAGCGTCCATACAGCAAATAGCAAACAGCCTGGTCAGCTTCAGTATGGTATCACAACCCTAGCACATGGCTCATCAGGGCTCTGCTCCATTGCGCCCACCACTGATCAACTGAGCTGAGCTGCTGCCGCCGCCGGCGAGCAATTCTGGAGCCTTCGCTGCCAAGCTGTTGATTGGCAATTGGATTTGCCTCCTGGAATACTGCTGATCAGCTGTTCTAGGTGGCGAGGATCGCCGCTGCTGCACAGCAAATGGGTGGCGGCAGTAATCGGCAGCGGCGATCCCCGCTGCCTAGAACAGCTGATCAGCAGTATTCTGGTAGGCCGATCCGATCACCAATGAGCTGATCAGCAGTGAAAGCTCTAGCATTCCCTGGTGGTGGTGGCGAACATCGCCGCCGCACCAACCCCCCTCCCCCGCCACAATATTCACTCTATAAGACACACAGACATTTCCACCCACTTTTGGGAGAGGGGAAGCGTCTTATAGTGTGAAAAATACGGTACATTCAATGCAAAGTTTATCTTTGAGGGTCCCTTATTTTTTAAAAGATTGATGTTAAATATTCACTTGGTAATTTCTGTAAACAAAGAGTAAATTTGGAGCTGGAGACAGCAGTCCTTTAATAGCTAATTGGAAAAAAACCCATTCATTGAATCTGTATGGCTATCCATTTGTTAATTACTCTGGCTAACAATTGACATAAATATAATAAAACTTCAAAGCACAAAGTAAGTTAAAAATAATCTTAATATAATAGCCAGGCTCTTATAACACAATTATACTGTATGGGGATATAAATAATAGCCCTGTGTCTACTCAGACTACTGAGTAGACACAAACTACTCAGCCCTGTGGGAAAGTCAAGAAAACTGGACTGCCATATGTCACAGGGAGCCTACAATAGGTACTCCAACAGGTACTACAAAAGAAATGTATATCACCTAGGTGACACCAAATGATACAGTTCAGTAGAGAAGATCTACAGCATGTCCACACTGACTGATCTATTTGGATAGGCAGAAACACACAGGGACAGATGGTCCCTCAAGTATTCTGGTCCTGTGCCATGCAGGGCTGTAAATGGGGTAATAAGCATTTTGAATTGCACCAGAAAGCATACTGGAAGGTAGTGCACCTTCTGCAACAGCAGTGTACTGTAGCATGGATGAACCTTGGTGTGGCCAGAACTGTATGTACTGTTTCATTCTGAATCAGTTGAAATTTCCAAGTATTAACAGTATTCCCCTGTAGAGCATATTGCAATACTCCAGTCGAGAAATGAGTAAGGCATGAATGGCCATGAGCAGAACCTCCTGGTCCAGGAACAGATGCAATTGGTACACAAAGTGAACTCACGCTAACTGCCTCCCATCCTCATCCTAGCCACTGTTTCCATGTGCTTTCAAGTGGAGATTGTGAATCCAAGCGGCTTTCCAAATTGTGTACCAATTAGGTACACAAGGGAATGCTACTTTGTTAAATATTTAAAAAGAGAAAACTAGGGGATCCCTAAGCCCAAAGCTAGTGCAACTTGCTTGAGTTGAGTGACACCTTCTTCCCCATCCATAATAACCTCACAGCCTCCAGGCACTGAGTGGCAACATTTGATGATATCATTTGTTTAACAAGGGGTAAAGATATATACCGTATTTTTCGGAGCATAAGACGCACCTTTTTCCCCCCTAAAAGGGGGTGAAAATTTAGGTGCGTCTTATATACCGAATGTAGCCCCGCCCGCCCACTGGCCCCCACCCTTTGGCCTCTGCCTCGCAGCAGTTACCTCCTTGCAAGCAAACAGCAAGAAAAAACAGCTCCTTTCAGCTTCAGCACAACCTAATTAGCACAAGTTGATTGGAGCAGGGCTCTGCTGCTTGCTGCAAAGAGGTAAATTGCTGGAGCAGATTTTTTTTTCCTTGTGCTAATCAAGCTGTACTGAAAACGAAAATGAAAGTAAAGCAGGCTGTTTGCTGCAATGAGGCAAAATTGCTCAGAGGCAGAGGGAGATTTCTTTTTCTTCTTTTCCTCAACAAAAAAGGTAGGTTCGTCTTATACTCCGGTGCATCTTATACTCCGAAGCATCTTATACTCCGAAAAATATGGTAGCTAATGTCAGCATAGAAAGTATTTCATCCAATGCAAACGAATAAACTTACTGGCCAAAGCATTTATTGAACAGCATGTCACAGATATAAAGTGCCAGTTGGATCCAGCCAGGTCTCCAGCCATTATTGCTGATGATTCCATCAGGTACTCTTACTCCCCTATAAGTTACCTAATTAAACTGAAAAGTACCTAACCAGCAGAGGACCTTGGCATGATGTCATAGCTTTCCCTCAGCTGTCCTTGAAGGCCAATACCAGAAGATTCCTTACCTGGAGAGACTATGCTCCTGTGACTCAATACACAGAAACAACAGAGCACGTGGTTTTTCAGTCCCTATTACATAGACATTCATACTAGCATCATCTCATTATTATTGCATAAATACCCAGGACAATTCTATACCACCTTACTGCTTTCAGATACTCTGTTATAATATACAGTATTTCCAGGTTAGCCACAGCTGCATTTAATATCCATCAGATGATGACCTGTATCATAAACTAATCTCAATGAGCATGTAATTTCTTACGCTAGAGTGTGCTGTGCTATAATAGTTTTAGTTTGCCACATACTAACTTACAGTATAAGAGCACTTATATTCACACATATACCACTTATATTCCTCTACACCCATCTCATGTTCCTAATCCTTCTTTTAAACCGCTTTTCAACTTTTGTTTTTATATATACTTTCTGTTATATATCTTTTTGTTTCAGTGCTTTTTGAATTAACTGTAACCCATCCTCCTTGTGCTGGTGTTTGACTGTAGTAAAGATTTGTTTTGATTCAGTGGTTTCATATAGATGTTATATTGGAGAAGCAAGAAACCCCCATAAAAAGATCTAGGACTAGGATCTTTCTCTGACTCTTCTCCCAATACTGATTGGAACTGACCTTGGAGGAAGGAGCAGAACCTATTGTTATTGCCCTCGGTTGGTCCAGAAAGATACTATAATTAATGGTATCAAAAGCAGCTGAGAAATCCAGAGTATACCACCCTTATACTTGGTCCTCCAAAAGTATCCATAAGTGTGACCAATGCCATCTTGGTATTATAAGCGAACCTGGATTTCACCTGAAAAAGGTCTAGATAATCTGCTTTTGCCAGG